AAAAAAAAAAAGCTCCTTTCCCAGCAGGGCTACAAAACTAGTCACAGAATTTCAGGAAGCTGTCCTAGTAAAACTAATTTTTTTTAATTCAGTGGTCCAATACAGTGCTTGACAGATCCCAGAAAAAATGCCTCCTCTGAAGAGTTGCCTCTGGAAACAGCTCACGTGTTCAGCAAGAAAAGCAAGTGTCAGGAGCATAAGGCCGTGGGCTCCTCCAAGGCAGCCCTCTCTGCAACACCCTTCTGTGTTGACAGCAATGATATTTACCTGTACTGTCTATTACTGTAACCACCAGCCACAAGTGACAAGAGTCTACCACACTGGACACTAGCTCCACAGGGCCATTCTCCCCTTTTCACCTCGTTAAGAAGTCACTACAAAGTTTACAGCTACGGGGGCACCTGGGTGGCTCAGTCAGTTGAGTGTCTGACTCTTGATTTCGGCTCAGGTCACGATCTCACAGTCATGGGATCGAGCATCAAGTTGGCTCTGTGCTGAAAGCTTGGAGCCTGCTTGGTGTTATCTCTCTCCTCTCTCTCTGCCTCTCCCCTGCTCACACTCACGTGTGTTTTTTCTCTCTCAAAATAAATAAGCATTAAAAAAACAACAACAGAGTTTACAGCTATAACAAAGAGGAGCCATCAGAGCTGCAAGACACAGCATATACACAATGCCATCGCAGTCACAAAGTCTGCCTCTGTAAATATATGAGGCAAGGTCAATGACCATGTTCATCTGTTTAGAACCACATCTTTATAGTTTCAAGGCACAAAAATGTCCAACCAAAAGAGAAATCTGATTTTCCTAATGTTTAAAAATACTCAAACGCTTCATAAATAACATGTTCAATTGATTAATACTGAAAGAAAAATTTTTGATTTCCATTTTCACTTAAAACTGAAAACATCTATACCCAAAACTATCATTCTGCTCAGAAAAATACAGAAGGTGTGCTCTCTTACTTTTTCCCATCACGCATATATCTTCCAAAGAATTTCAAAGAAATCTCCCTGTATGAATTCCTAAATAAAGATCTCTAGGGCGCCTGGGTGGCTCAGTCAGTTAAGTGTCCGACTTTGGCTCAGGCCATGATCTCACCGTCTGTGAGTTCGAGCCCTGCATCCAGCTCTGTGCTGACAGCTCAGAGCCTGGAGCCTGCTTTGGATTCTGTGCCTCCCTCTCTTTCTGCCCCTCCCCTACTCATGCTGTCTATGTCTCAAAATAAATAAAAACACTAAAAAAAATTTTTTTTTTTTTAAAGTGGAAGGTTTACAGCTGTTCTCTGTACTATTTCTTGCAACGTTTCTCTCAAGTTTGAAATTTTTCAATATAGCAAGTTGCAGAGGAAAAAAAATACCTGCTGTCTTTGTCCGTTCTTTCATTTATGAGAGGAATCCATCGACTTGTTACCTAAAAAAAAATTAACAAGAGCTAAACCATGATGTGGCTCTTCTCTGAAAAATACTCTGTCCTTGGACCCCTAAAACTCTAAGCTGAGGATCAGTTTTATTTTTTATTGGGGCACCGGGACCAATGATCACCCGCTGCCTGGGTACCAAAAAATTTTGCTTCTGAAATCTCTTGATGTCTATTCTGTACGAAGAGCAATGGAGCTGCCCTACGTGTGCCACTCACAACAGAAGCCCTTTTTTGAGGATCAATTTTAAAAGTGCCTTCACTGAAATTTAACTATAGTGAAAAAACTCACACATTCATACCTTATCAATAGAATGCTTGTTGTTAACAGCATAAACTATGCAGATGACATTAGCCTATAAGAGAATTTAAGAAATTAATGGCATTTTAAAATAATACAAATGTAAATGGTAACATTTAATTACCAACTAGCTAATATATTTGGGCTAAAGGAAGAATAAATTTTGAAACCTAAAAAAACCCCAAAGTTAGCATGCTTCTAAGAGGAAAAATTCCTAAGGACTTATAGCAAAAAAACATACTCAAAGCAGTAACAACAAAGAATTGAAAGAGCCTAAGTGAGAGAATGAAAAAGACAAGACACAGAATCATCGATGTTTTCCCACATAAAAACCTGCAACTATTTTTTTTTTTAACTCACCTGTGATATCTCTTGATGAAGCTGTTCATCACTCTGTTCTGCTTCTACAAATGACAAAGTCAAAAAACGTCCATTATTTTAAACATTTTCATAAAAACGAATGACGAAGCTAACATCTACACGGCACCCGCCCAATATCCTTCATCCCTCGTGTCATCTATGCAGTGTAGTGCCAGATGAGGTGGCAAAGACAAGGGCAAGCCAGGGAAAGGAAAGAGCTGGGCTATGATAAGGAAGCTGGCTGGCACTGAAAGACAAGTCTAGCAGAGGATAACTCAGGCACTCGAGAGCAGAAGGCATTGTGTGATAAATCTAGGCCAGCATCTGATCCAGAGTTGAGAAGGGTCAGGCCAAAGAGATCAGAAACCCAAGCTAGAAGACTAGGTGGAGGAGTCAGAAGCCCAGACAAAGAGTCCATACACACAGGGTCAGAAGGCCAGGTGAGAATCTGGGCAATACAAGCTAGGGAGCAGGCCCCAGAAGCAAAACTGGAGCATGATAATAAATAAAGAGTCCAGAATTCCCTTTCTAGCATATTATCTCTGGCTGGAACAGGTCTAATGGTAGATGTGTATATAACCCCACAGTGCAGTTATACCACCCTTACAAACAGATTTTAATTTTTAGAGCAGTTTTAAATGCATAGCAAAATTGAGTGGAAGGTACAGAGATTACCTATATACCTCCTGACCCCACATAGCTTCCCACATTATGAATATTCCCCATCAGAGTGGGACATCTATTAATGGACTCCCTTTTTTATTTATGGGTTTTTTTTTAAGTTTTTATTTTTAAGTAATCTCTACACCCAACATAGGGCTTGAACTCACAACCTCGAGATCAAGAGAGTCACGCGCTCCAATGACGGAGTCAGCTGGGCACTGCTCCTTTTTTTTTTTT